CTCATTGGAAACAATAGTTAACAAAGAGTCATGATCTGCAAGGTCTCTGGAGAAGAAAGACCACCACACCACCAAAAAAAAAAAAAAAAAATAGATCATCAAGAATTGGTTACTTTTAGTGTCAGAGTAGAACTGTGCTTACAAGACAAAGTACACGTCCAGAGCCCACACGTGCCTAAATGTCCTTGTGTGAACCTTGTTCTCCTCTCTCCTTTCTCTCACAATTTCTCCAGATACTTTCAGTTAATCTATCTTATTTTTGCTAGTCTAGCCAGTTTTTAAATACTGGACTTTTTAAATACCTCACTTCAGGTCTGACTGTCATTCTCTGCGATTGGCTGTGAAGATTATTTTCCAGCCTTAAATTGTTTGTGAGTTTCTACATAATCAATTTCTACTATGGCAGTCAATGATTGCTGTTCCAAAGAATTCACAGCCTTAAGGCTGCACTGTATTCTATGAAAATGACTGTTTTCACAAAATTAAAGATTTTTATAAATACGCTACATTCCAATCTAATAATACCCAGATATATAACCATCAGCAATCTAAAATTTTTAAATACTTCTTTGCTGTATGCCAGGAGCTCTGGTGGCGTCATGCCTAAGGCATTTGACTGCTAACCAGAAGGCTGGCAGTTCAAACCTACCAGCCACTCGTTGGAAAGAAGGTTGGGCAATCTAATTCCGTAGTGATACCACCTCGGAAACCCAAGGAGGAGTTGCTATGAGTTGGCTCTGGCTCAACAGCAGTTTGGGTGTTGCTCTATGCCTTGGATAAGTTAAATTACACCCTATATTTCTTTTATAGAGCATGCAAAGGTTTAGTTTAGTTGCTAGAACCTTGCCATAATTTTCAACAACTGAAATAAAATATTAATGGCCAAATGACTAGGGTGTATATGTGTGTGTGTATGCATGTACTAGCATGTAAGCCTTGAGAATCTTAATCCTAATTTAATAGCATCATAATTTGTGAATTAATTGGTTACAGCTACTTTAATTTATGAAATAAATATCTGATTTTTTCTTTGGCTCCACAAAATAAATTATATATAAACAAATGTTCTTCAATAAATGGTGCATCAAGCTCATAGGTTCTAAGTATCTTACCAAGTATCACTTTAGAATTACTTGCTTCAAGTTGCAAAATTGGCTCCAAAATTCCTCCCCACTTTCTTGTTTCCATGACCCTTTGCAATATGATTTTACAAGTGTTCCCATGGAGAGGTCTGTATCATTTTTTTATCCACCTCTTGAATCTACATTGTTCATATGACTTGCTTTGGCCCATGACAGATTTGCAAACATGGGGAAAAGACTTAAAAAAAACTTGCACATTGTAGCTTTCCCTTGTGATGCTCTTAGAATTCTTCAATTGACATGTGAACAAGCATAGGAGCATAGGCTTGTTGGAAGTGACAAACCACATGGAAAGAGCAGTCCTAAGCATCCTAGCTGTCCAAGAAAGGCCATGACCAACCAACCAATCAAACCAATGAAGTAGCTGATGACAGATGCATGTACAAATCCAGCCAAGATCAACTGAACCCATCCCAGGCCCGAAGGACAGTCTAGCTACACACAGTTCAAATTGCCAACCCAAAACTGTCTTGGCTAAGTAAATGGTTATTGTTTAAAGTCATTAAGTTTTGAGGTAAGTTGTTACACTGCAAAAGTTAAATAAAAGTGATATCACCAGTTTTACTTGGTTTCAGAGAACAGATGAAATGGACAAATCTCTTAAATCCTACCTCGAATTTTCCAGGTGACAGATGAATTTTACTAAGCAACACTTCAGGAAAAACATACTGGGTTCCAAAGGTGCCACTTAGGGAGAACATTTCAAATCTTGTAGAAGCAACTTCTACTGGTTGTCCACAAGTTTCCAAATTAGCAGTTTTGCATTTCAGCATTGTGCATACCTAGGTGGAACAGATTCAGACAAAATGCAATGCCTTCCAGGTTACTGACACCAGGACCGTTGACTTAGTTTTTAATCATACTAAAGCAATTACTTGCTGTGTTTATTTGATAATGAGATTTGGATCTTGTTTCTTATAATTATCTGCTTTATCAATAATGATAATCATTTGACAAATGATTTGAGAAACACGCTCATGAATAGTAAATGAATTGAAAGACAGGAGGAGTTTAATGGTTTAGACTGAAACCATTAGTTTTGCAAATCAGATGATGGCATTGAGCCCAAGGTAATGGAGGTCTTTGGGCAACAGTACTACTGAATTCTAATGGATGATTACAATTTTGACTACTCCATAAAAGGTGACCTGGCTTCCCCTGTTTTCTCACTCCTAGATCTCCATCCATTTCTTTAGGATAAGTAACTATAGAAAATCTATAAGAAAATACAAATTCATAGCCAACACTGTGTAAGAAGTTTACAATTATAAAACTTTTAATTTGAAGGGATTAAAAGAGTAGGGCATCTGATTAAAAGAGAAACTAAGATAAAATTGACATTCCTACTCATTTTGGGTTTTTAAAGTTTAAATAAAATGGTTTATGTTTAGCAAAGCTAGTTAAGGAAGTAAGTATTATTGAAGTTCAGCACAATATCATGGTTCAGTTTAAAAAAAAAAAAAGTACTCAAAGAAAGCAATCCAATTATACTAACTCCCACTACAAATGTCATTTGATTTGTCCCAGAGTATGTATGTGGGTTTGTGTGTGTGCACATGTGTATTGTGTAATAATGTCAATGCATTCAGTCATGTCATGAAAAATTATTCGGTACCCTGGGACGACTATGAAAAGCTAACCTTGGAATCCACTAACTAACACCTAAACAAGCCCTTCCATTTGAGCAGAGATTACCTGCCAGTACTCTGTTCTCCTTCGTCCATGAAGTCCTGTAAAAGCTCCTAGAACATAGACTTCATTCTCTTCTTTTTTTAGCATCCTGTAGCCTAAATGACAGCAGAGCTCTTTTTGACAGACTGTAAGATTTCCTATACTTTCATAAAGCTCTGTGAAGTTGAACTCATCACGGGAAATTAATCCCCCGAAAGTATGTTTCTGTACTGGGAATGGCTGGATGGTACTGGCGTAGCTACTCCAACTTCTGGCTACAGGGTAGTCAGGAGAGTTTCGGGGGTGTGAATCCACCTCTGAAAGGAGAATCTTTCCAGATGCTGTTTCCATATTATAATGATACACTTTAGAAGAGTTCGGTGCATAAATACCACTCCCTGTGGATAGAAGGCAAGACTTTTAGAAATAACAATAAACACCAATACTTCCAGTTTCCCCATCAGAATTGGGCAGGTGGTCACGTCAAGGCATATTAGTTAGTCTCAGGAGACAGCATATAGGCTTTTAGTTACATGGAACATCTAACTGATTTCTGTTAGAAGAAACTGAAATACCTAACTGATGGTTTCATGTCAAATTTAACCACTCTACCACCAGAGCTCCTTTCAAAATAAAAGGATTCTTTATTAGCACTATAGAAAATTCAGTGAAATATAAAAATATTTGCATTCAAGAGTTCCTGAAGGTAGGGCAAAATAATGCAAAATTCTCTCTCATTCCTCACTGGGGTGGTTTTCAAACATGTCCAAAAATCCTTCAACATTCCTCTCTCCATTGAGTGGATCTAATTCTTCTCCCCTTGAGTGCGAGCTGAATTTAGGGACTCACAGTTAATGAATGGGAGAAGTAACCGTGTGTGACTAGGTCATAAAAGGCAACCTGGCTTCCCTTGTTCTCCCTCTCTATCTTTGTTAGATCACCTGTTCTGAGGAAGTCAGCTGCCATGTCATGAGGACACACCACACAGCCCTACGGAAAGACCCAAGTGTCAAAAAACTGAGGCCTCCTGCCAACAGCCACTGAGGATCTGAGGACTCTTGCCAACAGGCATGTAGGGGATCTTGAAGCAGATCCTCTAGTTCCAGTCAAGCTTTCAAATAAGGCCCCGCTGCCATTTGACAGCAACTTCATTAAGTAGCCTGAGCCAGAACTACCTCACTAAGTCACCCCCAAATTCCTGACCAACAGTAACTGTGAGATCAAAAATTTTTGTTGTTTTAAGCCACTACATTTTAGGATAACTTATTACACAACAACAGATCAATAATATACTCCCCCACCCTTTGCTTTTTTAATACTGTGTTTTAGAGCACATCTCTGTTCAGCTCTGCATTGCTATTTACTCGCTGGTGGCCTTTGGCTAGTTACTTGCACTCTCTGTGTCTCAGTTTTCTACTTTCAAATTGGGATGATAGCACCCATCATATAGAGTTGTTGTGATGATTAAATGACATATTATACATAAAGCTTTCAGCACAACCACTGCTGTCATAATCAAGCATTGGCTTTGGGGGTGGGGAGTGAGAAGATGACAGTGAGGAATCCCAACAAAAAGGCAAAAATTAAGGCAGGTGACAGCTGAGGCATTAGTTTCCCTGCATTTAGAATTATAAGCTGCAGACATCACCCTGTCATGAATTACCTGTCATATTTAGGTTGACATGATGTGTGTTGGCTGCAAGAAGATTAACTCTCATTCCCATGGCCCAAGCTGAGTGGAATTCAATAGCTGTCAGAAAGGGTAAAACATTCATCCAAGCTGTGGGGAACAGTATGGTGTCTACATGTAAGTCTTCCACCAGAGTCACAGCAGGATCATGGAAGAGTATATCAAAGCAGGTGAAAATGCCAAACTTTCCAAAGGTGGTATTGAAAGTTACCAACTCCGGCTTCTTAGGGACATTGAACTGAAGCTCACGGTAGAGATGGTACTACAACAAATGCACAGAATAAAACCAGTAAAAGTTTACCAAAGAGATAACTTATAACAACTCTCCAAAATCAGGAACAGACAAGACTTTAGGCATCGTCACAGCAGGAAATCTATCTCATAGGAACAAATAAATCTGAAGTTTGGTAGTAAATTTCCAAGGCAAGCATGGAGGATAAGCAACATATGTCTGTACTGTGTCTCTCTCCTCCCACTTCTCGTCTCCCTTTTTCCTTCCTTCCCTCTCTCTCTTTTTTGTCTCTGTCTTAATGAGGAGCCAAAGACCTCCCCATATACCCCAAAGACTGTAAACTTCTTGAACCTGAAAACATGTCGTATTCTTCTTTGAATCCTTGATACCAATGAATATCTGTTAATTGATTAAGGAACACCACCTCCCTCTTTACAGTGCCCCATCCAAAGTAATCTCAAGGACTCTTACTCTGCTTTAAAAATTACTATTGGAGAAAAAAGAGAAATATTTTCTCTCTTCCTGATCTCTTCTAGATAAATTAAAAAAAAAAAAAAAAAAAATCAGTTTGACCTAATCTGATAAGGGTCAATGTTGTTCTTGTTGTTATGTGCCATTGAGTCAGACCTGACTCACAGTAACACCTCCTTGGGTTTCTGAGGCAGTATCACTACAGAAGTAGATTGCCCAACCTTCCTTCTGAGGAGTGGCTGTTGGGTTTGAACCTCCAGCCTTCTGGTTAGCAGTCAAGTGCCTTAGGCACTATGCTACCAGGGCTCCTATAAGGGTCAATAGATTCATAAAATGGTCTCCAATGTAGAAAATAGTGAGGAATGGGGAAAACACAATTAGAATTTCTATATATACTTATTTTCTATCTAAAATATAAAATTGACTGACACAGGTATTCTTATTATGTCCATATGTCAGAAGTCATGGGCCACAAATGGTCCCTATGATCCCCTGAGGGAAAAGTGAGAACCGTTCAATTTAGGCTAATCAGAGGTCCCTCACTGACCCTCAGTATTCACTACACTGTGCCACCCTGCAGCTTACATGGGCCTAGTTACTTGGATTTACTAAGTCCACAGATGGAGCAAATGGTAAAGCCACTGACTACCAGACACACTTTGGAAAAAAGGTCTGGTGATCTGCTTCTGAAAGGTCATAGCCTTGAAAACCATACAGAGCACTTCTCTTCACATAGGGGGTCACCACAAGACAGTAAAAACAACTTGGGTTTACTAACTCTGTTGTTGTTGTTATCTGCCGTTGAGTCAGCCCTGACTCATAGCGACCCCTCCTTGGGTTTCCGAGGCAGTATCACTACGGAAGTAGGAATGCCCAACCTTCCTTCCGACATAAGTAGATTACCCAGTATTAACTACATCAACACTTATGGAGCAGTTGAGAATGATTCTTGCAAATAAACTGCATTAAAAGGTAATATACATATTGCAAACAAGAAAATGGGAAGTTGACATTCTACTCCTTGTATTAAACATTTAAAGGAGAAAACGAAAATCTAACTACATATGAAAAGAAATGGTCAAAAACACACCCAGCAGTTCGTGAGAGAAAGACTGGCAATATGCTCCCATTATAGCCTAGAAGCCCTGTCACAAGGGGTCACTATGAGTCAAAATCGATTCTCCATGACCTAACAAGTTGTTACTAGAAATCTCTATGAAAACAATAAAGGTCATTTGAGAGAGAAAATAATATGAAATAAGATGTAGACAGGGCCCCATTAGAAAGGTGTTGAGATGGTCCAAGATTGAGATAGTCATTTTTGAAATTAATAAAATAGATAATTTTAATAGCAATACAAAGGATATTATAGTGACTTTAATCTGGAAATCATTTAATATCGAAATAGCATAAAGATGCTTTTAAAATTGTATGGATCAGTCTCATTTATGTTCATTTCTTTGCTCTCCATCATATCACAAAAATGCTCTTAGTACTTATTAATTTTAAAACACCTTCTGAGGTTTATTACTTTGAGAAAAATAAAAAAAATATATGTTGCATTACACCTTAACTGGTTTGCACATATTGTAGTTTCATAGCCAATCTGGAAACTTCCAGAGGTCAGGCATCAAATAAGTAAATGGTGACATGGAGGAACTTGGAGGACATTATGCTGAGTGAAATAAGTCAATCACAGAAGGATAAATATGGTATTAGGTCATTATTGTAAAAAGTCAAGGAAAGGTTTATATATGGAAGGACACTTTCTTTGTTGGTTACCAGGGGTGGGATGGGAAGGGAGGGAACACTGAAAAAGAAAAAAAAAATGCATTGACCCATATCACTTTAGTTTTGTGTATATCACTGTACTTAATTTTATATTTCAATAAAATGTATTTAAAAAAGTATTTGTGATGCAAAAAAAGTTATGCAATTACAGTTATGTGTAAAACATGTATGCATATGAACAACTAAATAGAAAGATGAAAAAATCAAAAAATAAATAAATGGTGAACAATTAAAGAAATAAATTGCTAAGGTAGAGAGCGTTAATTCTTACCTTATGGTACCGTGCCTCCAGTTTTCCCTCTGAATTGTATACCACATTGGTATTATATTGATAATAGCCATTGGAAGGGCATGTGGAGTCCTGGGAATCACATGGCTTTTTGTCCCCAATATTTACTAAGACATAGATAGAATTATTCTTGGCCAGGCAACTGAGCCTTGTTTGTACTGGTGTGTGACCAAATCTATAACAAGGTTTAGTATAGAAATTTCAATTCCACAATATATGTTAGTCCATTCATACACAGTACAAGCCTGAGTGTAACTAAAGCGAGTATCAAAACTACTCACAAAAAATGATCCTATTAAAAAAGCCACAAATCATAATGCACATGGTATCTATGGTCGAAGGAAACCATTATCCGTTCCCCTACATCATCGTCTCCTCACCACTGAATAACAGGGTTAGCATGTAACATGATTGAAAAACTTCCTTCCTAATAAAATAATCAAATTGAATAACATAAATATAATAACATTAAAACTGAAATGATTAAAATAAAATAAAATTATATAACATAAATACAATTCAATTAAACACACTGAATAGTGAAAATTAAAATCAACTATGACATGAAATGTTAAATTTAATAAATAATTAATATACACAAAATTAATTAAATAATAAATTAAGTTAAAGTAAACATAAAAATTAAGTTAAATAAAATCAATAACAGAAATAAAATAAGTAATGTAAATAAAATAATACAAATAAATATAAAAAGTAAATAAAGTAAAATTTCATAAAATAATTAAATTTAATTAAAAATATAAAGTGAAGTGAACATCATTAAATTAAAATTAAACTAAGTAACAAATAAAATAATGTAAAGAAAAATACTAAATGTAAATAAAAGGTGAAGCAAAATAAAAGAAAACAAGTCATTAAATTGAGTAACAA